ACTACTGCATCACTAGCATAGCTGTCAACACTGAGGTTGGGAGTTCGAATCCAGCACGTGGCAGGTGCATTCGTCTCCAATCGAAACGGAATCAAAAGATTGATAAAAAAAAACTGGTTCAAACCAAGGTATCCATTAGGTTCATCACTTTAATGTTAAAAACGACAAATTTGAAATTTGATTTTTAATATACTGCTGTATTACTGTATGTCCTATATATACATCTTCTGTAGTTTTTCAGAAAGAGAAACATAAAAAATAAATGTTCTTCTATCTTCATCTTCTTTATCAATCATGATGCCTTTTTGAAAGCAGAGGCCTTAAAATCAATTTGAAATACGGAGTTATCCATTTGTAATTCAGGAGCCTCGATAGCCGAGTGGTCTAATTTGCTCATCTTCTGTATCACTGGCCTGTCAACATCGAGGTTGTGAGATCGACCCCGCACGTGGCAGGTACGATTGACTCCAATTTGATTGACAAGGATTGTTAGTTTTCCTGCAGAAGGTCGGTGGTTCTCTCCGGGCAATCCGGCTTCCTCAACCAATATAAAAACTGTCCGCCACGAAAAAGCCAATAGTTCCGAAAATAGCACTAAACGCCAATCAATCAACTAACCAATTAAATATTTGGCTCATCTTAGATTTTTCCAGATTCATGACCCCGACTTTTTACAATTCAAACAACGAAGATGAATATGTTGACTCTTTATAGGGTAATCAGTGACTAGTGTTTGTTTAACGTCCAGTGCCAAATATTTCATGCATGTTCACGAAAAAGTTGCAGGTTCTGCAATGTTGGTGTAGTGGGATGAGGGTGTACATTTTTTTTACCCTGTATGGAACTGATGATATGTATGGTAAATATGGAGAAAAAACAACGTTTGCCTGGCAACAGACAACCGTTGGGACCCTCAAAGAGAGCGTGTTAAATATTATTGTAATGTATTTTTTTTTGTATCTCTTCAATGAAGTTTTCTCCAAAATAATTGATCTCTCCTTTCTCTTGACTGTCAAAAAAACATGAGCATCCTTTTTTTGATAAGCATGGCTACAGTGAATATCAATGTCCAAAACACTTACCTTTGACAAGTTATGGATGTGAAGAAACTTGATTTGTTAATTTAATTTGCGAAACATCCCAGATTCCATGTTCAGACATGTAATTGTCTCTGGTATAAGGTATTTATATATATATATAGGACTTTTTTCAGAGACAGTGTCACATGCCAAATTTATAAAGTTATGAAGGTTAAAACCAAAATATTCCGGCAAAATCTGATAGAGACAGTCGATAAAATAAGAAGTTAGTTTATTGTTTTGTACAGTTCTTGTGCTGTTCTTTTGCACCACTTTCCCAGGATTAGGGGAAGGGTTGGGCGCCCGCTTACATGTTTAACCCCGCAACATTCTGTATGTGCCTGTCCCAAGTTAGAAGCCTGTAATTCATTGGTTGTTGTTTGTTGCTGTATATCATTTTTCCGGGGTTTTTTTTGAATTTTCGCATTGTTTTTTACATAAATCAGGCCGTTAGTTTTCTCGTTTTAATTGTTTTACATTGGTCATTTTAGCGCATTTTATAGCTGACAATGCTGTTTTGCTCATTGTTGAAGTCCGTACGGTAATCTATAGCTGTAAAACTTCTATATGCAATTTGGTCTCTGGCGGAGAGTTGTCTCATTGGCAATATAATACCACTGCACAAATGACATCTTCTTATTTTAAAAGTTAAAGTAAAACAAACGAATCATTGTCTATTATATCATATTTTCTAAAAGACAGAAGGAAATTGCCTGTCGTTCAATAACTGCACTAACTTTGACTAGAATTATTTGATTATGCAATATTTTTTTGATATTTCAATTTATTTTTTAAATAAAGATTCACTGCTGGACAACTTGCCTTCATCATACACAGCCGTTTACGTTTTTATTATGATCCTGTATAAACCATAAAACATAGCAACAAATGATCGACTATTCCCAAATACTACCTCGTCAACAACAGGAAAACACGTCATAGTCACACAGTCAGCATCATGCAGACACAATGCAACACCTCCGAATAGAATAAGAATATTTATTGAATCCAATTAAAGGGCCCGTTTCCGAGCATATACATATATATATATAGTATTAATTATACAGTATTTTTTTAGATATATTACATTAAAAATAAACGATTAAATAACTATACTCCATACCAGATGGAGTTTGAAAATAAATAAAATAGAATATTAACCCTCCCTAATACATACAAATAAATAAACTACTGTAACAGCACTACTACATGTATATTTAGTTAGTTACCGGAATGCAAATTTTCTCTTATTTCAAAACAAGTACTTATAAATCTTGACACTGACATATGAACATTTTCAGACTCACATGACATTAACCAAATAAATTGTTCATACTTTGAAATAAAAGGGAAGTTTTTACATTGAATGCATGCTTCATTAAGAATACAATTCCGTTCCTTTTCATAAGCAGTGCATTCCATTACAAAATGAAACTCGTCTTCAACCTGCATATTTTTACACTGCCCACAAAATCTTTTATATCTTTATCGATTTTTTTATATCTACCTTTCTCAAAAGCTAACTGATGAGCACTGATTCTAAATTGAGTTAAGCTTTTTCGATACTGAAATTCATTAACTTGACTAAATATGCTTCCCTTTTGAAGATGTTTTTAAATTTAAAATAAGTACGCAATTTTCCTTTGTTAACATTTGCATTATCTTCTATAGTATTTTTCCAGTAAATCCTATATCTACTAATCAAAATATTTTTAACTTTTTCAATGTCAAAACTTTCCATATCAACATCAATACATCTTAAAATATATACAATATTAGAATACCAAGATGACTTATTACATTTGTGAGTGTCAATACTTGTGAATAGGGCTTGTTTTAACAAATGATCCTTTTCTAAACCATTAATTCTTTGTAAAAATTTAAGAATAGAACAAATGATTTCAATATGCAATGGAGTACGACCTAACTCTCCCATAAAAGCTAAATTACATGACTTTTTATTTACCCCGAGAATGTATTTGTAGAACTTTAAACTTAAGTTCTCGCAATCAAACTTACTAAATTTTTTCTCAATTTCAAAGGGGCTGTTTGTTTGACATTTTGAAAAATTAAAATTACAAGTTCCCCAAATTTCTGAGCCATATGTTAAAATTGGCTTTATTGTATGGTCAAAGATATGTAAACAACTATCAATTTTTGGGATGTTTTCACCGAAAGTACTTTTTAACTTGAAAAAAGCTTTTAATCCCCTTTGATACAAATCATATCTAGCCGTAGAAAAACTTCCAGAAGCAGAAAAAATAACACCTAGATATTTATAATTTCTAACATTCTCAATTGGTTCACCATTAAAATAAAAGTTACTTTTAATCATTTTACCACCTTTGTTAAAAATTACAATTTTTGTTTTCTTAAGATTAACCTGAATACACCAACTTTTACAATGTTCTTCTAATTTATTTAAACATCTACTCAAACCTGTTTGACTAGTAGAAAGAAGCACAACATCATCGGCATACATTAAACAATTAAGTTTTGTACTTCCTATTTCAGCTGGTACACAGTAATCATCAAAAATACACGGCAAATCATTGACAAATATCTTGAAAAGATTGGGACTTAGATTATCCCCTTGTCTAACTCCAATGTTAGCTTTAAGTTTATCTGTTAATTTATCATTTAATCTAACTTGTAAAAAATTATTATTATACATGTTCTTAATAATATTATAAAAATAACCCCCTATCCCAATGTTTTGGAGTTTTAACAACAAGGCTTCATGAACTACAGAATCAAAAGCTTTCCTAAAATCTACAAAACATGTGTATAAGTAAGTTTTTTCAATTAGGGTCCTCAAAATAAACATATGATCTACTGTTCTTGATTTTTTCTGAAAACCAATCTGTGATTCAGAAATTACATTAAACTTAGTCAAATAACTATCAAATCTATTATTAAGAATGGAATTAAACAACTTTCCAATACAACTTAGAATAGCAATACATGTACCTCTATAATCAGAAGGGTCATATTTTGAACCTGATTTAAATATTGGTATAATATACCCTGTTTTCCAATGTTTTGGATAAAAACCAGTGCATAATATAATATTAAATAGTTTTACATAACATGGAAGCAAAATTAATTCAGCTTCTACCCGAGAACAATCCGAGACTGGAACCATCTACCAGGAAACATCGCAACTGACACCGACTCGGATACTTTCAAGGAAAACCTCTGGTCACACTTCCATCCTGAGACCAGAGACACAGTGATGCTGTAAAGATCATCCTTGTTTTTATCCTGCACCGACCACAATTTTAAACTTGTATATATTTATTTATTTTTTCGGTTTTGTTGATCACAACTTGTACGGTCAGCACCTGCACTTGATGACACATCATCTGCGTGATGGTATTTTTCCGTTGCTGATTAATGAAAGAAGAAGACTCGTTGAAGCAAGGATTTGTATAGTAAGATCCTACTATACAAATCCTTGACTGAAGTAACCCTTCACATACTGTAGTGAGGCGCTGAGCATGATGTCCCATGATTCTACATACCGTTGAACAGGACATGCAAATTTGATCATGTACAATTTGAAACCAGAGACATTATTGTTTTATATGTCTCTGATAAAACTTATCAAATTTTGCAGAAAAAAGTTGCCATATATATAACCCTATTGAATTTTGTTAAAAAATATACTATCTGACTAAAGGAGGGATATTTTCATCTCTCCTATATAATTTGTCCAGCAACCCCATCCTTTTTCTTGGGTAAAAAATAATAGTCCCCTATCTTTTGGTCCCAGTTTTACTGTATGTCTTTACGTCATTTTGCGGATGGTATTCGCCAATTGAAGACCATTCGCATTTCTTTCTGTTTTAAGGTACCAAATTGGTTATTAGGTGTATCAATTATTTTACTCTTTTGTGTTGAAGGCTTTGCGCCAAATTTAAAAAACAAAACGATCATATCATTTACGAACATTAGCACTTAGAAGATGTCTGAAGTAAGTAAGTAAGGAGCACGAAGCAGTAATTCCCGTTCCTGTCCTGTCCAAAGGTAACTAATGGAAGACGAGACATGAATGACTCATAAGACTTATAAAATAAAACGCAGGAACTTTGGCATGATAGATTAGAGGACGGTAGGGAATAGTCACACCAGAGACATATAATACAAGAGATTCGCAACTCGGCGAAATCCCGTAATAACACGCGGCCACTAGTTAAACCTCGCGAGATCACCTTAGGTAATAAAGTCATTAATAAAAGTATTAAAAGTACTCGAAGTAAGGACGAATGTTTAAGCATAACATAAACTGTTTCAGTGTTAAATTTATCATAATTAATTTAATAATTTGAGTACATATATAATTATTTATTTTAATGTTATTTTGATTTTAGATTTGTATTATTGAAAAAGAGACATAATTTGATATTGTATTAAAAAAAAAACCTGATATTAAATAATTAACACTTGATAAATTGTGTCAGAGTTCATTTTATTTGATAGTTACATAATGGGTTTCTATTGAATAAACACCTGTCTCGGAGACATAATTTCACAGTGTGACATGTATATTAGGTTTGAATTATTCGATGACCAGGTAAATCACGAACATGTTATAAATAATGAGTTTTAATTGACACCTTGTAAACAAGAAGTTGTTACACCACAGGTATCCACACTCTTTCCAAAAATACAATTCACAAAATGTAAAATTAATTAATGTGGAAAAAAACTTAATTTATTTGTTAATTAATTGTTAATCATGATAGGCTTTGTTTTTTATTCTTGATATTTATAAATTATTAAAATTCTATTTATTTTTATATTCATCATTTATTGGGCTTGCATTGCGTTTTTTCTGTAGGATTGTCGGTAAATGTTTGATTTCTAAGTGTTGTTTGACAGTTTCATCATAGGCTTGCATTGAGTTGTTTTTTAAATGATTGTCGGTAAATTTATTGTTTCTTCATGTTCGAAGTGTGTATTGAGAATTTATATTTAAGAAAATTACAATTAATTTCTCATTTGAATAAAGCTTCATTTATGTGCACGCAATATGGAAAATTCCGATTTTATTTCGTGGGATGACAATCTTAATAGTTACGACTTAGATATACTCCAAGTTGAATAAACTGATAACGAACTCTTTGTTGATAGTGAAAAGGACGAAAACATAAGCGAGAGACCCACCAACAAAAACAATTGACAATACTGCATACATAGATGGATATGTGTGTCTTCGAAGCAACAAAAAATCTATAAAAAAACACAACATTGAAGTGGGAGCCAAGGTCATACATCAAAGCAACATGGAAGACACTATTTAAAAAGTATTTTATAACCTTATTTCCACGAGACAATCATTTGTAGTGGTTTTTGTCTTTTAATCATTTGTAGTGGTTTTTGTCTTTTTATTCTGGGGTAAAGAGATGGCAGTTTAAAAGTAAGATTGTTTGTGTGGGAAGCAAGTTAACTCGTACCATTGTAAACTCGTACCACGTAAACTCGTACCAAAAAAGTTAACTCGTACCAACTATAATTCTTTGTGTGTATACATATACAAATCCTTGCTGTAAATAAAGTCTTTTATTATCAAATATATATATATATATATATCTTTTGCAGTCACCATTGAAATGTCCTCAATACGATTTTAATTTAAAAATGAATTAAGTTCATGTTTTGAATGCGAAGCGTAGTCTGAAACGACAACAGATGCATGAAGCTCATTCATAATATTACGACCAGCAGAAGGTTTCCTTTACTAGGAAAATTTTACTCCTTTTGTAAATTTACTGCATTCGTTCATCTTTGGCACTCTAAAAAGAAGAAAAAAACAATGACTTCAGAATAGGAGAAAATAAACAACTTTGCCATAAACAGATTGAAAAATAAATAAATTGCCTAACAAAATGCAGGCTATAAATTTCGTAGTGCACGAAAATGAAGGACTGATTTAAGGAAATTTGTCCATGAACAATTTCAATATTTAGCCAGTTTAAAAAAAAAAAGAAAAGAAAAGAAAAAACAAAATTGGGAGTAATATATATCCCCATAATTTGACATATTTATTTGTAAATTTCTAGTTTTGACGAAACAGATTGATAAAATTAGCATAGCTGGCTGTGTGTATAAATAACAAAATAATAGTCACCTTTGTTGATATTTTTAGAAATAACTGTTAGATCAAATTTTACGAAACTGGTCCTATTTTCACGACATAACATCGTCCTCATATTTCCAAGTTTTACGAGATTAAATGATAGTACTAGCACAGCTGGCTTCGGGTACCAATAAGAAAAAATCGCCACATTTGTTGATAATTTTGAAGAACAAAAACACTATTGGATCAAATTTTACGAAAATAGTCTTATTTTCACGAAACAACATTTGGGAGTATTATTGCCTATAAAATTATATATTTATTAGCATATTTCCAAGTTTTAAGAAAAAAAATTGGGAGATCAAATGGTTTCTACGGCAATAGGAGGTGAAGTAAAATGGGCCGAGTTTTAACTTTATTTGTATTTGATTAATCTCATCATTCAAGATTTCAAGATTTATTGATAACGCTCAGACACATAAATGTGTAACATGAGGTCAAAGTATAATACACAAACAATTGAATGACGAAATGAGCATGCAGTACTATTTAAACACATAGAAATACATTTGTAAATATTTTAGAATAAACAAGCAATTTTCTTAATAAATAATGATAGTCGTTTGTAGACTTCCATATTACATACGGACAATAATCCCTCCATTTTAATGTATTGCGGATTAATAGTATAATATCTAGGTAAGTATTGGTTTCTATAATTAACAATAGAATCATGTTGACATACAAATAAAATATGAAATTCATCACCAACAAATTTATGACATAATGTACATATTCTCTCTGGTCTAGGTATATTTTGCCAACGGCCTGTCTCGATTGGAATACGTAAGTTCGATGTCCTTAATTTAGTTACCCACCCTCTGTTCTGTTCAGATAGTCTGATCAGATATTTTTCTAATCCAAAGTCCTTTTTAAATGTCCCATAAAATTGTCCCCGAGATGAATTTTCTATATCGCCAAACCATGAGGTAATAAACTGATCACTCAATATTCGGTCGAGATAATTTTTATCACAAAAGCCAATTTGATTCATGAAAATGTATCCTAGACCAGTGTTGTTAAATATTGATTCTACAGAATCAATCCATTTGAAAGCATAATGACCATGATTCTTCAATGATAACATCAGCCTGTACAAAGCACTACTAAGTTTACTACTATTGTTTACAACTTTACACCAATACGAAATCATTCTACATTTAACTCGAATTTGCAGAGGAAATCTTCCCAATTCTCCATACACCATAAAATTGGGTGTAGTATTTCGAACTTTTAAAATTCTTTTGCAATATTTCAAATGCATCTGTTCAATAATTTTCAAATTCTCAAAACCCCAAACTTCAGAACCATATAAAAGAATTGGTTCTATCATGGAATCAAATAATTTCAGTTGCAAATCTATAGGAATGTTTTCGTTTCTAACAATTCTTTGTATAAAATGCATCGATTTTTGTGCTTGATCAATAAGTTTCTTTTTGGTATCTAAAAAAGTACCGTTATATTTAAAGATAACACCTAAATAAGAAAATTTTTCAACAATCTCAAGTTCTTTGTCTTGTAATAAAAATTTAAATTTCTTTTTACTTTTCCTCTTTCTAAAAATCATAACCTTTGTTTTATTTAAATTTACTTCTAATTTCCACTTTTCACAATATAACTGAAAAATGTTTAGTGATCGCTGCATACATTCTTCTGTTTCAGATAAAATTACAGTATCATCTGCATATAATATAACAAATAATTCAAAAAATATGTGCAATTCACTTTGAAACTTTTCTTTTACAGTTACTAGTGGAATCCCATCTAGACTCTTAAAGTAGTCTTCTAGGTCATTAAGAAAAATTGAAAACAAAAAAGGCGATAAATTCTCCCCCTGTCTTACACCTGCTAAACAGGGGAAAAAATCTGACTGACATCCATTATATTTTACACATGATTTGATTCCTTGGTACATATTAAAAATAACTTTGAAGCACTTCCCTTTGATATTACTCAATTGAAGTTTTCCCCATAAACCAGATCTTGATACCGTATCAAATGCTTTCCGAAAGTCTACAAAAGTACAAAAAAGTTTTTTGCCAAATGAGAAATACAGCTCTATGAGTGCATGAAGTACAAAAATATTGTCTACAGTTGAATACCCCTTTCTAAAACCAGCCTGATTTTCATGTATAAGTGAAATTTCATTTGCAAAAAAATTCAATCGAGTATTGATTATGGAAGTAAATAATTTCCCTATACAACTAATTAATGTTATAGCTCTATAATTATCTGGATCCTTTGGACAACCTTTATTAGAACACATTTTATCAATAACAAATTATAAGAATTAGTTTTTTGTAACTTTTAGATATACTTGCATGCTTTAGCTGTGAAAGGTATCGGCATTATCCATTAGAAAAATCGTGAGGCGTAGAACTTTTTTCACAATAGCGAGTTTTTACCCATAAATCCATCGGAATAATCGGCTTTCCGGTGGCCACGTCATTTCATTGGCTGTTATATAGACTCTACTAGAGTTGCGAATCTCTTGTATTATATGTCTCTGGTCACACACATCGGTTATAATAAATGTTCATTGACCTGTTGAAAAGCTTAAATATGTCTTGAAGTAGGTATGGCAATGACAAACCGTATGCCAAATGAAAATAATGTTGAGCAAACGGATTTCTTATGATATTATTATAGACTCTCATGCATACAGGAATATTAGTCAATTTCAAAGAATGCATATTGCAATAATTTTTTTTATATCTGCATATTCTTAAAAGCAAAAAAAAAAAAATCTATATACAGGTTGTGTATAAGTTATCACAATTGGTTTGGGTATTTATTCAGTGGGGCATAGGGCATGTAGGGTATAATACACCTTATCGCTATTTGTCTGCCATTACTGGACATCACACAAGTTCCCGTAAAATTTTGACGTCATAATAGAAAATGTCTGAAGCCACAATGGAAAAGTGATTGTTGTATGACGTCAAAAGTTCGAGCGGGACAGATTCTCGGGTCAAGCAGGAATAGCGATAAGGTGTATTGTATGAGGGTAGGAATGCCCTTCACCGTCAGGCATCAAACAATAATTTTCAACTACCGTTAGCGTCAAATTGGTTAAAATTTTATCGTGATTTGTCAAGATATCCTTATTGTGATTAATCAGAGGTATCAAATAATTAAAATTGATTAACCGTTACTGTTATTTTTGGAAAGAATTTTTTCATCAAAATCAGTCGTTTTTTTTATTGTCAAAAAGAAAGTGTACATTTTATTGTTATGCACCAAAAATTACCGTTAACATTATTTGGCAAGATGTTTTACCGTTATTCGTCATGAAGGTACCCCCATTACGACTCTCTTGTATGGCTGTACTACAGGTATTCATTGAACATCAGGTACAAATGTAGTAATACCTGTGTTTCTGAAACAATAACTCCTACATCTAAAAATATCTTATCTTATCACATATTTGTTACGAATACGTTGGGTTTTGCATATGTAATAACCTCAAAATTGCCTGGAGCAAAAAAGAGGTAACCTGGCTATTGGTTATTGTGCCCTGATTCCAAATGACATGACGTCATTGCGTCCTTAACGACAATGGCGAACAATGACGGTGCTCGTTTCATATCAGTGGAGGAAAGGGATACAGCAGACTTTGTAGAGCAAATGAAAAACACTAACAAGGAAAAAAACTGAAAGTGACATTAAAATTCTAAAGGAGTGGTTAAAAAGTGCCAGAGAATTACGCAATTGTGTATTGCCATATTCCAAAATAAGTGGAAATGTGGCAATAAATTTATATGGAGTAAACATGGTAAATGATAAAAACTAAATGAAAATGTGATAAAACTTTTGTGATAAAATTTTAAAGATTTTACCTGTTATATTTCATTAAATTGTTATAATTGAACTTTTTTCTCTTTTCTGCAGAACTTAAATATGTGATAGATTATAACATGTCTTTTCCATATTGGCCCTGGTATCATCCCGAGACTCCCATATCGGCCTCAAGGCTTTGGCCCTGGTATCATCCCTCGACCCATATTGGCTCTTGGCTAAAGCCTTGAGGCCGATATGGGAGTCTTGGGATGATTCCAGGGCCAATATGGAAAAGGGTATGTTATAATCTATACATATCTTATACTCCTACCTCACCTGCCCTTGGCAAAACCTAAATCAAAGATGTACACAAAGTCAGAGCTCAGCATATGAAGTAATATTGCATAATAACTATGTCTTTATATCAATCACCCATGTGGCCTGACACCTGCACCTTACAACTTCAAACAAGACCTAACATTGCGAAATTCAATCACATGCACACCTGTGATCTTTGATGACCTCGTGGCATGGCACCTGAGACCCCAAATCTGGATTCTTTATGAATATGGGGGGAACAAAGTGTAGATTGGGGTTTGGTAAAAAGTCCTATCATCACGCCTTCTAATTCTGTGGGTCATTCGAAAACAGAAAATATCATGTCACTATTCTTTTTAATTCTATTGTTGAATCCATCGCCACACTAAGAATCATGCATTGTTTATCACGGTCATGCGTTTTGTTGGCTAGTAATCGAAAATAAATTTGTGCGATTCCCTAATGCCAATATGAACGATTGGAACCCGTGACATAGCAACCTCGTTCTGAGTGACTTCCGGGATGGAAATATGCATATTTAACAAATCGATAGGTCGTTGCATTAAAATACATATTTTATCAAATATTTGACACTTGTGTTGCTATCAATGTATTTTTGGGGAAAGTTTGTATAAATAAACAGTTGAAACAAAATTTGAAAACCCTGTCATGTCACCTTTAACAGAATTCAAAAACAGATTCAATGTATATAGCCATAAAGAGAACTTTCAAATTCGTGCATATTGCTTTTGAGACGTTTCGGCCATAAACCCGTTCGTCCATACACCACTTCAGCCTTGATCGTTTCTGTCCATTATGCCTTTTTCTTAATGTCTGTGCTTATCGATCATTTGTCAATGTTTTGAATAAAAAAATAAGAGGTAAGTAAATATTTCTCTATATATAATTAGACTGAGAAAATGTCACAGTTGGCAGAGCCAGGTAAAGATTAAAATTTTTATATTATATCGGTAGATTATGAAGCCTCGAAAATATATACCCCCACATCTATTATGCCAATTGATCGATAAAACATTTGATGAAAAAAAAAATTAATGTATTGTTTTGCTTCAAAATATCATAATCATGATAATAATGCTGTACTGGATTAAAAAATACATTTTTTGCAATTATAATATTAGATAATCTACTCCACTACAGATACATTTGTATATTAAATCAGATAATTGGATTAGCTAAGTGATAAAATTAGTGTCTTAGTGATTGACAAAGGCGTGTGTCTCATAATAAACTAATCAACTTGTTAAAACAAGACTGTCACCTTTTTGTATGCTTAATGAGTGTCATTTTGTGAAAATCATGTGGAGGCATGTAGACAGTTGCCTCCTATGGCAGGTCAACCAAAAAGAAAAAAGAAACAAAAAGAACAAAATATTGTATTAGTTCTTATCTTAACACTGGTTCCCACATCATATGAAGGTTAAAAGTGATGAAATAATGTATTTCTATTCACTTTAAATCTGGATTTGTAAAATTCGATCTACAGAACCTTTAAAAACTTTTTTTTTTGATAAAACATCATGATGATCATTACTATAAAAGTGCAATAAAGTTATAAAAGGTGTATAAATGAAAGAATATACAAGTAAATCTCTTTATACATGTATATAGAATAAAAGTATGGCCAAAACTACTTTTATTACATGGCCGAATCGACCAAGATCAAGCTGGCTCGACGCCTGAAATGTCTTGTTTCCTTGCATATTCACATAATTTTCTTATGTCACAATGCTTATGTTATTTATACATGATCATGGGTCAGCCTGTGTAACTCATTCATGAAAACAGCTTGGATTGGTCTATAGACACGAACATTACTACATTTGCTTGGGAATGAAAAGAAACACAGTGAGTGTCTGACTGTAGATACCAAAATGTTTCAGTCTCCATGAAAAACTTCTTGACTTACTGAAGTGAATTATCTACCATGACATAATCATGATATTGTTACAGAAGATTATCAATGCAAGTTTTTATTATTGTGAACCTGATATCGAAACTGTCACATTTTTGCATTTAATAAAAACAATAATTTCTGAATTTAAAGTATCTGCTGATTGTAAATAGTAACAATCTAATTTATGTTTTATCTAAGTACAACATATTTACATGAATAAATTATAATATACATGATATGCAATATATGAGCATTGTTGTTTTAGAAATTCCAAGTTCTGGCAAGAAAATAGATACAAGATTAAAAGCTGTACATAGATGAAAAGTATCTACAATCCTCTCCATGTCATTTTACCTAGAACCACCTAGTGGAACTATATCGCTGCAAAATTTGGAGAGGTTTGCTGAAAAGAGACTCAACTTCCTAATGAAAATTTACGAGGCAAAGAATGACAGGGTGAGACTGTTTGATGTGGTCCATCATGCTGGGAATGTTGTTGATTCCGAATGTTTGATTGATGGCACAAAGAAGGATGCAATATCTCATTTCATTTTGAGGTACATTAATTGGTTAATTTCAAATTAGTCTGCCCCCACTTTGCAGGATCAGAATCTAATGCATTCTGGGTAATATTTTCAAAAGCATACACCAAAACATTGTGATTTGATTAAACCTCCCAAACAATGGAAATTGAACCAATGATATACGTTATTTACTTTTTGGTGTACGAGCAATGAGATTACCCATAGTACTTTAGATTCTTAGAAGGCGAGTTTTGATTGTTATATAGATTCTCCTTATGTTACTTGGGTGTATTCCTGATTGTCCCACTTTTTAAAATTACAGGTAAAAAAGGGATGAAATTATGTGGGACAATCGGAAAGATGTTTGTGGGACAATTGAGAAGTGTAAATGTTGGACAATCAGGAATTGTTTTGATAGTAATTTATTTGTGTATCAGATAATTATTACACGTAATTAATCAATGTTACTTATAAATTTACATGGAGGAAAGTTGGTATTTACATATTTTATTTTATTTTGTGATAGTTTGTTATAAATACAAAACAATATAACATGTTTAATACAAAAACTGAATATGTTTTTAACTTCATAGAAAACAGAATAGACTCCAATAACATAAAATGTAAATTGAATAAATGAATAATTGAAAATTTTAGAAGTGTCAAGAATAAAATTAAAATAAAAACGTGTATAGAGAAAAAAACACAGATGTTAAGAATTATTTCACATTATTTCAAAGTAGGTTTCATATTCCTTATACATCAACATGTTTTCGTCCTGAACATGCATTTAACTTGCCACTGGACGTTAAACAGCCATCTGTTCATCTTTTCATCAAAATTATATATGTCCTGATGTACCTATCCTTCCTAAGTGAGAACGTAGGTTGAGGCCTATAGCCCTCTGATTATCTAAATTATGTAAAATTAATAAGTTACAAAATATCTTTAATATGCTTATCAGCTTATGAAACATTGTGATTATAAATTTGTTTTCTTTTTCTCTCTTTCAAATCAGTCTCCAAACCATTCAGTCTGAGTGCTCATAAATAAGCCAACTGAAGAACAACAAAAAATTGTGTGCATGTGTTTAACATTTAAATAAAAACTTAAATAAAATAAATCCCCTGGTTGTCTCCTCTCATCTTAATATTTGATTTACAAATTAACCTTACATTAAAGATATCTTTTGTAACCTATATTATTTAATCAAAAGTGCATTTTAACTGCTGATTTATTCAACAATTCATATTCACATTTCTAAAATTCACATTAACTACTAATATTTTCATGAAATAATTAATTTTAAATTGATATTGCAAAATAAACAGCAATTATATTGTTTATTTAAGAACATTTAACAATAAACATAATAGAATAATGTGGGACAATCAGGCTAGCTGGCCGTCAAATAGTTGAGGGCCGGTTGAGGGCTACCTGGATTTTTGCCATGCAAATTAGGTAGCCCTCAACTATCAATTGCTCAACTTTATGCAAATTAGTTGAGCAAGGTTGAGCAAAATATCATAGTTGAGGGCTAGGTGGCTAATAGTTGAGGGCAAGGTCATTAAAAGTTGAGGGCTAGGTGGCCAATAGTTGAGGGCCAGGTCTTTAAAAGTTGAGCATTAGCTGGTCATTGCAAACTGATGACTACAAAGCCAAAATACTGCTGAAAGATCTTAACTCACAACAGACTGCATGACAGCTTTATCCTTGCTTTTTAAATATAAGATAAGAATGTGTCTGATACTTTGCTTCACTATTTGAGAAAAAAAATGTTATGAAATTGTTCTTCCCCACTATTTTAATCTGTTGACTGTCAGAGTACCTCGATAAAGCAAAGTATAATGATTGTAAAAATTATTCTAAATGCTGTCTTCATGATTGATCACACTATAGTTTAAACCAGAGGCTAGTAAAATTGCTCTAGCCATGTCTAAGCAAAATTGTTTTAAATTATAGTTATAAAGGCCTTAATAAAATTTCTATTACCCTATTAACTGTATTAAGTGTACATGCTCATTTAACCCTAAAACAATTTTCTTTCCTTAAAAATTTCTACCCCCACCCCCCTTGATAAACCAAAATGGCAACAGTCAGTACAAAGGGGGGTATTCAAAGTGCACATTGCAAAAATACCCAAAACAGAAAGTGTTGTTCAACCAGAAAAAAAGATATATATGGGCAATAATTTGGTATTCGGCCTTTGGTTTCTTTTTGTATCCTTTTTTTTAAGTTCTAAAACTTTAACTTTTATTCTGTGGGTTGTGTTGGTGTGAGAATAGTATTAATGGAACAAGTGGGTTTTTCGAGGAAAAATTAATCCATTTTGATTCACCGTTTTCGTGACAGGAAACCAAACAGGAAACAAAACTTTATTTTCTTTATTTTGCACAATTTATTTCAAAAGACATAAATGAACACCATTACTAGTGTTACTTGCTTCATGTTAATATTTAAAATCTATTTTCAATGTTAAATTAATGTTTTTTTTAAACGCGACAGGAAACCATAAGAAACCGAAAGCATTTCTTTAGTTTTATTTTAATTGGAAAATCAGCTTAAAATAATCTGTACAGTAAACTTTTTCTTGATAATGTTACTTATAACTTTGATTTTTAAATTTAGGACTGTTTTTGATAATTTTTTCCAATAGACAATAAAAACTATGAGAATATAGAAACAAGGGCACTTTAGGATGTCACTATAATAAATTATTTTGGGCGCCGACTTGCATCTACATGATCTACTGATTTTGACTACCAATGTATTTTCTCTTGCTTTTTGTTATAATTCTTATACACTTTTATATGTAGCACATGTGCCTACTAACCCTTCATGCCCTTAGAAACCCAATGCAGTGTGGTAGCTAGCTCAGTAACACAATTGCATGGTGAACACTTTGTGCTTATGCGTCACTAACCAGAAAATTCAAGCACTGTAAAAACTGGGAGATCTAGCTAGTGCTACTTATCTTATATAATGTACTTTTCTATAAAGGGCTGTTCCAGAAGTGAATGTATGGGGTGTTGGGAGGCACTTTCTCAGCTCTCACTTTTGATTCAATTGGAAAGATGCAGGACATTTTAAATTTCTAAATTTTATTGAACACAAAACTAAAAGCATGATCCAACAAACATATTAATGTTTTGAACATCCAATATGTGAGTGATGTCCATTTTATCCACAGTATAAGTAGTATCTTGTAACGTCCACCCTGTCCCTTGCTTTTTGTAAAATTTAAAATTGAGAATGGAAATGGGGAATGTGTCAAAGAGACAACAACCCGACCATAGAGCAGACAACAGCTGAAGGCCACCAATAGGTCTTCAATGCAGCGAGAAACTCCCGCACCCGGAGGCGTCCTTTAGCTGGCCCCTAAACAAATATGTATACTAGTTCAGTTGCATGTTTTTATATAGATTAGACTGTTGGTTTTCCCGTTTGAATGGTTTTACACTAGTATTTTTGGGGCCCTTTATAGCTTGCTATTCGGTGTGAGCCAAGGCTCCGTGTTGAAGACCGTACTTTGACCTATATTAGTTTACTTTTATAAATTTTGACTTGGATGGAGAGTTGTCTCATTGGCACTCACACCAAATCTTCTTATATCCAATAAAAGTTTGAATTGTTTTACGTTTGTGATTTTGGGACATTTTATAGCTGACTATGTGGTATGGGCTTTGCTCATTGTTGAAGGCCGTACGGTGACCTATAGCTCAGCTGTAAATTTCTGTGTCATTTGGTCTCTTGTGGAGAGTTGTCTAATTGGCAATCATACCACATCTTCTTTTTTATAAAGACAAGATTCCATATACAAAACATTATTTTGTTGGTGTATAGAAATTCAATGAAATCCTATATTAATTGTTTACACCCATTCATTACAACTGCTGGAAAATTACAATTAAGTACCATGGATTACAGAAATATAACCAAAAACCTCATATACCAAAAAGAATAGCCTAGTTTTTTTCACTAAATTTCTTTCCAAAATTTGTGACCACAAATATATAAATCTGATTAAAAAAAAAAATTCTGGTAAGTTGTTATTGGGCTCGTTTCTCTAAAGGTCACAAGTTTGATGGTAACTTCTTATCATTCAATACAAATTATGACGGATCTTCAAAGTCACAAGTCCTTAGATTAAACAGAACCCTAGTTCCTTTCAGCAAGGGCAACTGTAAAAAGCTTATTTTACATGTCAACATTAAAGTGACATGTTATTTCATGCAATGTTTTATGGCAAATTTGATATCTAGGTGAACATATTTTCAAAGCAAAATGTTACTTTTAAGTTGAAAAGAAAAGTGTTTTGATATATTGGCCATGCAGGCAGTGAACCGGCACTACTTACCTGAAGGGAAATAACACTTTTGAAAAGCTATGAAATTGTGACGCATACAACTGAACTGGATACAACATTGGCCATTTCCGTGTATTGATTTATTACTCGCATACTTATGCATTTAGATTTGCATCTCTGGTTAAAGTCTGTCTTAAATGTAATAGTATTACTATTAAACTCCTAAATATGTGTTTGTTTTGAAAAAAATTAGTGCAATTTATTCAGAAATTTCAACGTTTTCTTTATTGATACAGGATACCATAATCGTTGTATCTTGATGTTTTAGCCAAAAAAATGTATTTATTGGTTTTGAAATTCCAGTTTTATACAATTAATTCCAATGTCAAATTCCTATTAATCCAGTAAAGTAAAAAACTTTTAACTTGGAATTAAAATCTTATAATAGGCATCATGTGCTATCATGTGCTATCTGTGACCTGTACACCATCTACATGGTTTCCACATATTTTTGTTAACCTTCTTTAGAGGGCTAAAATCGATAAAGTACTTCCTTTCAAGTCATGCATGGTAAAAGTTTACTTCTCCTTTGACAATATTATTGCATTTTTGAAAAGTGTTTGCAGAATATGATTAAAATTAAAAAAAAAAAAAAAATTGTGACAAAGATACCAACTCTGTACAATCCAAGTGTAACGGTATATCAACATGTATTTTTTTTAAATTAGCTTTATTTACCTAAAATATCAAGTACAATTTTCTGCTAAAGCAAAATCAATTCAACGAGCATCGGCAGAATGATAAAAAACGTAATGTTGATCGAATTTTCCAAGGACCCTTTTCATCGTTATCCGGAAACAAAGTGTGTTGTAACGTCCATCGAATAAGAAATCGATTTTGTCAAGCCATTGGGCATTTATTTTCACTCAAGATCGTAGGTAACATTATGCACGTAGGAAAAATAATAGATCCCTGGCGCGATCTTTTTGAAAATTGTATTTTCCCTTTTTAAACAATATGAAAACAGTCTACATAATATGCTTGCTACTATCCCGTTGGAAACAAAAACGATGCTTAGACCTAATATTTCATATACCCGGCCGTAAGCGCTTAGTCACATGTTAGCCACACGTTTCACGTATGACCGGAAATGATTTGGACTGAACGACAAAAACAATTTTAATAAAAAAAAGTAAATAACTGGACTTCTGTTTCGTGTGAAATGTAACCCATAGCGATAACGTCATTTTTGTCGAGCCTGCGACTTTTGTCGCAGAAAGCTCGACATAGGGATAGTGATCCGGCGGCGGCGGCGGCGTTAGCTAACTTCTTAAAAGCTTTATATTTTAGAAGGTGGAAGGTCTGGATGCTTCATACTTTGTATATGGATGCCTCATGTTACGAAGTTTCCGTCAGTCACATGTCCAATGTCCTTGACCTCATTTTCATGGTTCAGTGACTACTTGAAAAAAAAGTTAAGATTTTTTGTAATGTTAGATTCTCTCTTATTATAAGTAATAGGATAACTATATTTGGTATGTGCGTACCTTGCAAGGTCCTCATGCCCGTCAGACAGTTTTCACTTGACCTCGACCTCATTTCATGGATCAGTGAACAAGGTTAAGTTTTGGTGGTCAAGTCCATATCTCAGATACTATAAGCAATAGGTCTAGTATATTCGGTGTATGGAAGGACTGTAAGGTGTACATGTCCAACTGGCAGGTGTCATCTGACCTTGACCTCATTTTCATGGTTCAGTGGTTATAGTTAAGTTTTTGTGTTTTGGTCTGTTTTTCTTATACTGTATGCCATAGGTCTACTATATTTGGTGTATGGAATGATTGTAAGGTGTACATGTCTAGCGGGCAGGTGTCATCTGACCTTGACCTCATTTTCATGGTTCAGTGGTCAAAGTTAAGTTTTTGAGTTTTGGTCTTTTTTTCTAATACTATGTGCAATAGTTCAACTATATTTGGTATGTGCGTACCTTGCAAGGTCCTCATGCCCGTCAGACAGTTTTCACTTGACCTCGACCTCATTTAATGGATCAATGAACAAGGTTAAGTTTTGGTGGTCAAGTCCATATCTCAGATACTATAAGCAATAGGTCTAGTATATTCGGTGTATGGAAGGACTGTAAGGTGTACATGTCCAACTGGCAGGTGTCATCTGACCTTGACCTCATTTTCATGGTTCAGTGGTTATAGTTAAGTTTTTGTGTTTTGGTCTGTTTTTCTTATACTGTATGCCATAGGTCTGCTATATTTGGTGTATGGAATGATTGTAAGGTGTACATGTCTAGCGGGCAGGTGTCATCTGACCTTGACCTCATTTTCATGGTTCAGTGGTCAAAGTTAAGTTTTTGAGTTTTGGTCTTTTTTTCTAATACTATGTGCAATAGTTCAACTATATTTGGTATGTGCGTACCTTGCAAGGTCCTCATGCCCGTCAGACAGTTTTCACTTGACCTCGACCTCATTTCATGGATCAATGAACAAGGTTAAGTTTTGGTGGTCAAGTCCATATCTCAGATACTATAAGCAATAGGTCTAGTATATTTGGTGTATGGAAGGACTGTAAGGTGTACATGTCTAGCTGGCAGGTGTCATCTGACCTTGACCTCATTTTCATGGTTCAGTGGTTATAGTTAAGTTTTTGTGTTTTGGTCTGTTTTTCTTATACTATATGCAATAGTTCAACTATATTTGGTGTATGGAAATATTTTATGATCTATTTGGCAGTCACGCAGGTTTTATTTGACCTTGACCTCATTTTCAAGGTTCATTGCTCAGTGTTAAGTTTTTGTGTTTTGGTCTGTTTTTCTTAAACTATAAGCAATAGGTCAACTCTATTTGTTGTATGGAAGAATTGTTAGCTGTACATGCCTGCCTAGCATGGTTCATCTGACCTTGACCTCATTTTCATGGTTCATTGGTCAATGTTTAGTTTACTTGGTTAATGTTAAGTTTATGTGACAGTTGTAATAAAGCTTTATATTTAGGACTATCAACATAATATCAATGATTAGTAAAGAAGGCGAGACATTTCAGCGTGTGCACTCTTGTCTAACTTAATTATTACGAAGAACAAAACTAGAATGTAAATAATCAATGATTTACCTGTTTGAACATCTCGCGAGAGTTCATATTTGCATATTGTTATGAATAATTCAAGTACAATAAAGCAGACTACACCATCTAAAATTTGCGTTACGAAATCGGAAACCAAAGTAACGCTACTTTTCTTACACCTGCTACAAAAATACTTAAAGTTCTCGGCAATTTCTTCTGACTATTCTTTTTGATCGATGTTCTTTATTATTTGAAAGCAAAAGTTACGATTTTGCAGGCGACGATTATCTTTAAATCGGGCAGCGTTACGCACTTCGGAAGCGAAAATAACGGTAAGAAACGACATACAAAAGTGGCCTGATAAACTTAAACATTTGTTTATTTCAAATTCTCTCTAGGGGAGATTAGAAAGCACCTATATTTTAATAGAAATCATAGCATTTGATGGTGGAGCAACAATTTCTCTCAACAAAATACAATATTTTATCACTTTTCTATCGTTATCGGAAACGGTCCCAATACCAAATTATTGCCCATATCTGTATCTGTCATTTGTGGATAGATGTCTTATTGGCAGTCATACCCCAGATCTCTAATTTTATACCAAATTCATTATATTAGAAGATTCTCATTTTATTAGTAATACTTTAAAAAAAATTGTCTTAATAATAAAAAAAAATATGTCTCCTGTCTTACACATTTTGATAATATATAAATTAATGCATAAATATATTGTCTAATTTTTTTCTTCACTCTAAAAAGTTAAGAAGGCACTTTAAATATTACTATTTTGAACTAAAAGAGCATATGCACTTATTCAAAATGGTGGAAATTCTAATCCAATGTACTTACCAAAAGATGTTATCCTTAAATATGTGTAAACATCAATCTTCCTTAATCCAAGAGTCATGTCATCAGAAGAATACATTTGCACTAATCAATGTCAATCATGTCAATACAGTTATTTGTAACTTTTTGATCTACATCCATTGTAAAATCCATATTTTGTTCATGATAGCTAGAAGACATCTTTGTTTGCCATGTGCATGCTCATGCCCAGTTCAAATTTAAAATTTGTTTGAGGTTGTTTAGGGTATTTGTGACAGTGTGATCCCTTTGAAATGTGCCCCTAATAATAACTGTTAATTAGAATATTTGATATATATTATAATAAAAAAATATTGTTTGTTTTTTATCTTTATCGTTTATGTAATGAGTTATAGTAATTACAGAAAAATGTATAAAAACATGTGCTTCCCTTAATTTGGCCTCAAACTCTGTTTACATTTATAATGATACATCCTGTCTTCTTGCACTACACAGAGATAAATGGAAAACAGATGGCACATAATATTTATATCACCGGCTCATATTTCTAATTGCTCAACTTTTGCTCAACTACATGAAAACCAAAGATCAATTGCTCAACTTTTCCTCAACTATAAAAAAATCAAAGTCTGAATGCTCAACTTTTGCTCAACTACAAAAAAATCAAAGTCTGAATGCTCAACTTTTGCTCAACTACATGAAAACCAAAGATCAATTGCTCAACTTTTCCTCAACTTAATGCCCAGCTTCAGTTGAGGGCCAGTTGAGCGACATCTATCCAACATACAGCGCTTGGCCAGGTTTGAGTTGAGTTAAATTGTCCGCCACATGGCCCTCAACTTTTTTTTCTGTAGGGGTTATTATTCTGTAATCATCAGAAACCTCACGGATAAATGATTTTTATCACTGCTGGGGCATTAAGTGTTTCCCTTGACCTTCCATCTTTCTGTCCTTCTGTCTTGCCGTCCATCTGTCCATCCCATTTTCATTACAAGCCAAAGCTTGAGCGGGGGCATTTGTGTCCTCAGACACATTCTTCTTTTATTTTTATTTTATTTTATTTAAGGTATGCTGGCCGGCGTAGGCGTCAGCGTCATCAACAATGTATTAGTTTGTGATTAGGTCTAGTTTATGATGAACCACTAGTGGTAGGTCAATGATATTTTGTATGCAGTTGAATTAGCATTGGCACATCTCATTACCATGGAGATTATTTGGCCCCGCCCCCTCAGTCATGGTTTATTGACTTTTAAACTTTGCTTAGTTTTCATGTATTAGTTTGTGATTAGGTCAGTTAATGGGGAACCACTAGTGGTAGGTCAATGATATTTGGTATGCAGTTGTATAAGCATTGGCATATCTCATTTCCATGGAGATTATTTGGCCCCACCCCTTCAGTCATGGTCTATTGACTTTGAAACTTTTGCTTAGTTTACAAGTTAATGTTCGTGTTTAGGTTTCTTTAAAGGGAATGACTTTTGAAAAGTCAATGGTATTTGGAATGCAGTTGTATTAGCATTGGCATATCTAATTTCCATGGAGATTGTTTAGCCCTGTACCTTTAGTCATGATTCATTGACTTTGAATATTTGCATAACTTACATCATGTACATGTTGAAGTATTGTTATTTTAATTTCAACATTTGCATTATCAAAATAACAAATAGGCGAGACATATCTCTGTGTTAACAGTTTATTTTTATAGTAATTCCTTATATAATTAACAGAAAATGGATATACTGTCATGACTGGTGAACAAATTGTATTGGATGTCTGTTGAGTTTATATAATCAAATATTACTATTTTTCCAGGCTGGCTTTATGTAAAGACATTGACACCACTGACTTTCTCGTTACTGCAGAAACATCATTATTTGAATTTAGATTTTTATGTATGAATGAAGATGAATTGAGAGAGCTCTTCAGAAGAACCGAAAACATGATTAGTGGTGTTACCTTGGAAACAAATTCTAAAACTTCAAAACTGTTGAATATTTTTCAATTGATTTACAGACAGGTTAAAAGTTGGAGAAAAGTTGTGAGATTATATCTAAAGGGAGATGACAGTCATTGTTTTTATGTTCCATTTTCAAATGTTCTTAATTTAGTTGCTAAGAGACATGTTGTATTGACCAATGGAATTGCTGCAGTACCTTTCCCAAAGCTTCGAGAAGTTGTGACAGATATTTTTAGAGAAGTTTTAAAAGAAGGCCTTAAGATTGCACAGGAAAAGAGGTTATTAGACCAAGTGGATTTTCGATTGAGAAAATTAATGGCTAAGTTAGTGGTAGGTTTTATTTCTCTGTTTATGATATTAATACTTTTGTTAGATCCATTAACTATGAGAGAAACAAGCTTATTCATATTCTTGGTTTTATTTAGACATTATAAAGAAAATTGTCGGAATCCAATGAAAAATAGTATTAAAATCACATTAAACGAAACTAGTGCAGAATTGTTTAAGCAGTGTTGACACCAAAAGTTGGAAAAACCATAGCAAAAATTCCAGACTGAAAACTTAAGCTATTTGACAATAAAAATTGCCAAAGGTAAAATCATTTTCTAATGTCAGCTTCTTTGATTTTCAGCACAACTCTTTTGTGTTTCCTTTACACATTTATGAATATAGAAATAAGGAGATTTTTGCAGATTAGATAACAGTTCACCTGAATCAGAATATAAATATTGATACAAACTGTTATATATTATATAATGATGTTTAAGGATGTTCGCTAGTGTTGTTTTTTACTTTTTGTCAGATATTCAGAATCCTCTAGTTTTATCCACATATACATTGATATAGTGTCATCGGAAAGTTTGCCTGCTAAACCCTTACTTTTCTTTTTATGATTTTAATACATATAGTTTGAAAAGCCATTTTTGAAAATCTTTAAAATCCTTGCTATTTTTTCATAATGTTTGAAAGTAAAACATAGCCAATGTTAAATTTATGAAAAATCTAGTGGAAATCATTTCCCACCAAATTTTAAATGGCTTATATCTCAAAAAACAAGGACACAAAACTTTTATTTCAATTTTAGTTACCTTATCTTATATACTTTCAATTTATGACAGTCCTTTAAAGGGGCACTAGCTGTCAAATTCATGTTCACCGATTTTACTCAAATTCTCATATTTGTTATATAACAATGTAAAACATTTATCCAAGTTATAAAAAATCTAAAATAAACACTGCTAAAAGCGAATTATTATTTCACTATAAACATTGATAAAAATCATATTTTATAATCTTTTATATCTTATAGCTAGTGCCCCTTTAAAAAGCTTGTTATTTTGAAACAGAGCAGTGACTGTCCTTGAAATACTTATTTTATATAATGATTTTTTTAGAATAAACTACGAGAACAATATAGACCATTTTCTGAAAAAAGTCATCTTCACACCAGTTTGTCACATGACACAGTTCCTAGGGAAACAAAACTGTTCCCTCCGTGCATGTACAACTTACAAAGAGTATTGCAAAACAGACATAGGTTAAAGCATCACTCCAGGGTAAGTACTGTCTTCCTATTATTTGATGTGATATTTTAGATTACCAAATGGCATCATGGGCATCCTTTCTTTCCCTTTCCTCTGAAATCTGTATCATACATTTTCATCATTAATGTTAAAACATTAATGATGAAAATGTATGATACAGATTTCAGAGGAAAGGAAAAGAAATGATATGGTGTAGCAGTTCTTGATACAAAATTACTAAATGCACATGAAAAAACAAAAAGCAATACAAGAGCACTTTTATTGCTGTTCTTCATCTTTATGTCACAATCAGGCCATGGGCATGGATAAAAAACTCGCACCTCACTTGTGTTTCTAGAAAAACCATCATGTACTTCTAAAATCAAAAGTAGCAACCCAAAAACCAGGGAATAACACATGTAACACAGCATCCAAATTTGTTTTAAAATCGAAGACTTTTACTATCTGACATTACTTGGAAACACATGTAGTGACTATATAAATATACAAATATGAATATATCTATACAGACTAGTACCACATCTTATTTCTATTTACTGCAGGGTTTGTTGCTCGTGCTGTGTGGATGCAGTAGAATGTGTCCCCGTGCTTGTGGTATATGCCCTTATATTTTACAATTATGGGTTGTTTGCCTGTGAGGGAGCTTTCACATGTTTATTATATCTTTTTTTCTTAATTGTTTATTCAATAGTATGGTGTTTGGATGTATGAATACTCATCCACGCTTGCTGTTTTTATTATTGCCCCCTGCTGTGGTTTTACTTAGATTTCTTATAATCTCTGTTTTTGTCGTGTGTTTGTTTTATGTCTGTTTTGTATTAATTAAGTCTTTGCGTCAGGCATTTTATAACACTTTTTGTAAGAGCTCTTTTACTGCTTTGCCTATTATTTGTTTTACACACTGTGACTTGAATGAAGAGTTGTCTCATTTGCACTAATACCACATCTTCTTATTTCTATAGACATATGGTGAAATGACAATCTGCATAATAAAAAATTGTTTGATGTTTCTATAAATTACTTTACAATCTATACATGCTATACATTCATTAAGTTTCATAGCCTACTTTACAATCTATACATGCTATTATACATTCATTAAGATTTATAGCCATAAGTTTTAATCTGATAAATGTAACAGAAGGTAGTAATAGGAAAAGTATAATTAAAACTGTAATTTGTTTCTTAGATTCAGCTCACATTGTTTTTAAAAGAGATTGGAATGCCAATTCATGAAGCTCTTATGTACTGGAGGAGGGAATACTCCATTGTTGTTGACAACCAAGATGGCTGCTATCACAATTGGAAAGATAATGAGAAATGTTATGTTTATAATATCAGGCATTTGTATGGATTAGAGGGATCTCACATAAACTACAGAGCTCACTGCTGTAACTCACTTCAGGTGATACACTTTTAAATCATCATTTTCTCAAATACATACTGATATGTAGGTTTATGTTAAAACACACACCACATAATAAAAACAAACCTGAAACTACTTCCAAAACCAAACTTAAGATGGAACAGTGATAATCTTCAACACTACATTTGTTAATATTGACAAGAGGAAATGGTTCAGTTGTTCAACTTTTTTTCTTTCTTGAATTTTGAATTTCAATAATTGTTTTATTACATCTATATAATATGCCACTGTCAGGTAAAGTTAAGGAACATTGTCAATGTTTTTAAATAAAACTATAAAACTGGGGGTGGAAGGGGGGATAATTGATGTTTAGGCTTCATCAAATTAATTCCTAGTTCTTCGAACTCCTACTTTTGAAACACGTATCCACTGCTTTAAATTATACTCATGCAGCAGTTTCTGACAGGCAATAGGAGCAAATTCTTAGGTCTGTTCCAGAATTAATTGTGTGGGAGTTGGAAGGCATATAATGTTAATAATAAAGGGGTATTGGGTTTGAAACAAGTTTCCACAAAAAGAAAGCATCAATTTTTAATACAGGTTATATGGGCGAAAAAGTGTCCCCAAGCCTCCCTATATTTAAGTTTGGAATAAACCTTATAACATTGCTATTTGTGAAATAAAATATTTAAGGATGTTCGCTATTCTGTTTCAAAATAACAAGCTTTTTAAAAGACTGTTATAAATTGATAGTATATAAATAAAGGAACTAAAAAAACAGAAAAAAATGAAGGGTCTCGAGATATAAGCCTTTGGAAATTTGGCGGGAAATACTGCTCTCTAGATTTTTCATACATCTAACATTGACACCTTTTTTCTTTCAAAAACATTGAAAAAATAACAAGGATTTTATAAGATTTTCAAAGATGACATTTTAAATTATATGTAATCAAATTATGGAAAGAAAAGTAGGGGTAAGTGGGCAAATTTTTTAATGGCTCTACATGGATAAAACCAGAGGATTCTGAATATCTGGCAAAAATTCAAAAACAAGAGGAGTGAACATCCTTAAATATTGTATCATTGGGTATATGATGCAAATGCAAACCATAGCCTGACTTTTTTATAGATGCTTTAACATGTCATAAATCTTAAATTTTTGGTAAACAATAGGTTTATTGGGAATAGTGTTAAGATAAACCTCAGTCAGATTTGATAGACCCTGGCTATGGGAGTTTTGCGAATTTCACACTCTAAACTACTATTGTTCAAATAAAGATGTGTTTGTCATTTTCATTAAATTTTAGTTATAGATCTAGTAGAACTTTTGATAATTATTAATGTTTTAACATGTTCACAAGACATGTTTGATATTGAGATTGACAAGTTCTGTTGATATATTTTCATTTCATATGATTTTGAATACAAAACAAACAGAGACAGTTTGAACAAATTTGATTTATTATTTCAGAACTTCACACCATTTACAGGAGAAGTTGGTGGTTGTCCTTTAAAACATTTCGACAGGGAACATTTGAACTGGTTACTAAGTGATATGGGGATACCAGACATAGACATACAGATGGTTGAAACACTGGTCAAATTCCAGAAATATAGTCAAGCATGTGGTACAGTTCTACACAGTAAGATGACCTGTGTGAAGGTACTTAATAACATAAACAGTACCAATTTTGCTGCACCAGATGCACATTTCAACAGTTAATGTCTTTTCAGTGATGCTCGAGGCCAAAATTATTTGAAAATCCAAAACGTAATGCAAATGTTTTAGAGCTGATAAAGCCAAGGAGGACCAGAAGTAAAGCCAAACCCTGACATTGAATCAGAGTTCTGCATTATGGAGATACATATTTTAAATTTCTTACAGTTTCTGACAGTGTATTGGTTTAAAACAATGCAAGTCTGATGGTCTATATAAATAAGAAGATGTGGTATGAGTGCCAATGAGACAACTCTCCATCCATTTCACAATGTATAAAAAGTTAATAATTATAGGTCAAATACGGCCTTCAACATGGAGCCTTGACTCACACCGAACAGCAAACTATAAAGGGCCCCAAAATGACTAATGTAAAACAATTTAAACAGGAAAAATCAATGGTCTAATCTATATAAAAAACAAGAAACGAGAAACACCTATGAACCACACCAACAATTGACAACCACTGAACAACAGGCTCCTGATTTAGGACAGGTGCATAAAAATGCTGCGGATTTAAACGTTAGGAGTATTTCTCATTTACCATTGTTAATTATACAAAATCTAATCAATCAATCAATACTAGGTTTCTGTTGACCTTTTAAAAAAAAAACTTCTATGAACCATTACATCTGTAGTAGGAATTTCAAAAAGATTCCTTATTTATTTTCATGCTTTCCCAAAGTGTTGACAGGTAGAAACTTCACCCAAAATGCAGTTGCTTAATAGTTTTGTAGTTAAGTGCCAGTCTGTCTAAGAATAAGGCAAATTATTAAATTTCCAAACCATGACATATTTGATTATTTAATAATTATAGAATATTCATCTCATGCACAAAATATGATAACTCTTTAAGTCAATCAAAATAGAAATGTATAATCACATTTTAGATATCACTAGCCAGTCAACACTGAGGTTGTGAGTTTTAATCCCGCATGTGGCAGGTGCACTTGACTCCAATCTTAATTGATAGTCTAGTCAATTTAGTGAACAACCTGCAACTAATGCAACACAAAGTTTTTCTCTGAAAAACAAGTCTGTTACTATCTATGAACAACATACTAAAATTATACAAAAATATATTTTGCGGAAAGTGGTGTAATTAAAATTTTTTGTAGTAAAAGTAAGGTTATATGAGTTGCTTCCCCTTATTTGCCAAAGTTGAAAAAAATTAATGTATGCAAAAAGTATTCAGTATTTTTTAAAACAGTTGAAATAATACAATACAATACATAATTATCTCAATTTAAAAAAATAATATTACAAATGCATCACTTTCTTGTCTCAAAATTTGTATATTTGAATAAAGATATAGACCGCAATTGTGTTCTGCTATTTTACAATCCAAGAATCTAATTCTCCATCACAGTGTTAGTATGTAACCTATAAATGGAAAACTGTCCTGAATTAGATTAACCAACTTAGTCACAATCTTACTCGGTATTTGAAAGAATTCTGCCCGTGTGTTAAAGGCACTGACAGTTAATTTTTTGTTGGGGGGGAGGGTTCTCGAAACACATGTTTTGTCCTTTACAAAAAAAATGTTAATACAAGACATAATTTTGAAATTCAAAGTCTTTAATGTATTTTTCCCCACAACTCTATACAGAAAACAATATTTTTATTTTCATTTTCCTTCTGGAACAAACATGTTAAGATTTAGAATCGAACAATGTTTTTCATAAAAAAATAAGAATGATGAGTGTTAAATGTTTGTATGTTAAATATTTTTTCACAAATGAAAATTTCAAGCTCCTCGAAGCAAATAGCTACTCATGTAATTAGCGACGATCTCAGTCCTCACTCACCATATAAATAAAGCTTTGGCTGTAACACTGAATCCACTTTTCACTTTGGTTGCTAATCGGATGTGTACGGATTTATATTTTAGTCGGTGCCAACAGTATTTATTCATCAACTGTAATTAGCTTTGAACTAGCTATTAGAACTCAGTGTCTATTTGTTAGTGGTTATATACTCCGTGCTTATCTTTTTTGAGTCGAACCCTTTCCAACTGAGTTTTACAATTTGTTCTTATGTTGTTTGCTATTTCAAAACTGCTCCTGATTATGGGAGGGTTGAGTGCTCGCAAACATGGTTAACGCTGCACACTATTAATATGATTATCACAAGAAAGTGGCCCTTTATTATTTGGTGGTTATTGTTTGCTGTCTGTCGTATTTGTTTTTCCATTTATTGTCTTAACAGTTTTATATTTTAACCATGAGCTATTATAGTTATTAACATCCACACCCACATCATTGTTTTCTCTTGTGGAAAGTTTTCTCGTTGGCAATCATACAACATCTTCTTATGTTTTTAAAGTGGGGATATTTTACAATAAATTATGGTTTCACTGGCAAGCGATCAAACATACTACCAAGAAATCACTGATAGAGTTTAGTGGACCTTAAAAGCTAAACATTTATATTCTTTAGGCATGAGGTGTATTTTTTTTAATATTTTTTTAGTTTCGTTCAAATGAGTTGAATACAGGTCAGCACATTCAGGAAGCAGAAAACGGCGTCTTTAACATTGATATTTCTATAATAGAGTATAATCATGAATAAAGAAAGATTTGAGGTTTTTAAAGTCAATGAGAAAGCAACCCAAACGACTAACAAAAACCAACAGACATAATTTCAGATTAGAGTCCTCATTAGACATGACTATCTAAACGCTAACTCTGGCCATACTTTTTTACAGTTATAGGCTAAAGCTGATTACCTTTTATTAAATTAATTCAATGAGATATCTTAAAGAAGGAACTTTGTAATGCTTTTCTTTATATATATATATATATCTTTGACCATAATATTTTCATACAGCAGACAACCCATGTTAGTCCTTTGTCATTATCATTTGGTTAATGTTTCAGACCACCACGTACAGGTTTTACCTTACTGGGTACACACATAAGGTGCTGTTACTATTAACACTTCCTCCAGGAAGTGATCACATCAATTCATTCAACAGTGCTTATCTCATTTTCAACATCCAAAATTGAACCACTTTGGTACAATTACTCTTATAATCATATTGAAGAAGCTTCCCTTGAAATTGCCTTAAACAATATTAGATCTATATTTCATGCTAATTCAGTGAACTAGTAAATGTTATCAAATTTAAAAAAGCTCATATATCTGAAATTAAACTTGGATATTGATAGAGCTTGCTAAATAAAATTAGTCTGTGTTTAACTGTGACTTTACAATTCAAATGTTGAAAAAGCAGCTAATGAAAAAATAAACAAAAAAAGGACTACAATCAATGACGATGCAAGGACATTAGAAAAATAACTCTTCCAGCAATTAATATGACAAAATCAAAGTCTAACCAAACTGATTTACAGTTATTTTTTAACACAATCATTTTTTTTGTTTATTATACCTACACGTATAATTACTATAAATACATAACAGAAACATAAGATAAAAATTTCAAACTTCCACAAAATGCAATTCTTTAAAACTGAGTTTTACTGTGTGTTTATTTATTCTACAAAGTCTAGAGAAACTAGGGGTGGGTTGAGTTCTCACACAATATGTTTTACCCCAGCCACATTATTGCACTTATCCCAAGTCAGGAACCTCAAGATCTAGCCTTTGTTTGTCTTGTGTGTTTTTTGGGTTTTTTTTGGAAAATTTTGTTCACATAACAATTAAGATTGATCGTAAGTATACTGAATTGTCCATGACTTACGATCAATCTTAGTCGTAATTTTTTTTTGTGAAACCGACTCAAGGCCTTTAAGGTGGTGTCCATTTAGCTGAACTAGTGTACAAAATAATTAAGGGGTCAGCTGAAGCCTACCTCCGTGTGCCGGATTAACTTGCTATGTTAAAGACCCATTATAGTGGCCTTGTTTTCTCTATGACACATTCCCTGTTTACGTTTTCAAAATTCAAACTGGAAATAACCAAGATTTTGAAATTTTCATTTTTTATGCCCCTCACTTAGGGGCTTTATGTTTTTCGGTCTGTGCGTCCGTTCGTTCGTTCGTCCGTCTATCCCACTTCAGATTAAAGTTTTTTGTTAAAGTTTTTGGTCAAGGTAGTTTTTGATGAAGTTGAAGTCCAATCAACTTGAAACTTAGAACACATGTTCCCTATGGTATGGTCTTTCTAATTTTAATGCCAAATTAGAGTTTTGACCCAAATTTCACGGTCCACTGAACATAGAAAATGATAGTGCGGGTGGGGTATCCATGTACTATGGACACATTCTTGTTTTGTAATTAGTTCGTAAAACAAAATAGTTCACACAACAAATCGATTATTATTGATATTGATAATAAGAGGAATACATATGCATATAAACATACGATAATATAGTCTGTCTATATATGTTCTTTTTTGTATATAGATCAAATTTCAAAAATATATTAACCATTAACAACGGAGATTTTCTACGTTTCCAGTTTTCGACGTTTTTCACTAAAAATCACTCATTTCACCTCAAAATTACTTCATTTTGAATAATAATAACTAAATGACTACATAATAGTCTATTAAGATAAGGTTTCCTGTCTTCAACAAGCTTTAGGTCTAAAAATGTTAACATAGATAACAATTTTTCTTCTTTTCCAGTTTTCAGCATTTTTTCTCTAAAAACCACATATTTCACCCAAAAATAACCTTTTCCGCAAATTATGTTAATGTATAGTTTTAGTTTGTTGTTAGTACAAGTCTATATTTTAATTTGCACTAAAAAAACTTGTGTTGCAATTATTTGGAGGTTGAGTGATTTTAGAGCTAAATTGACTAGGCTATGACTAGGATTGTCAGTTTTCCTACCAAAGGTTGGTGGTTCTCTCCGGGCACTCTGGCTTCCTCCACCAATAAAAATTGATCGCCACGAAATAGCACAATAGTGTTGAAAGTGGCGTTATACACAAATCAATCAAATTTTAGAAAATCCCTGGCAGTATTATATATTAGCACATCGAAGTTCTATATGTTTTTCTATATATCCTATGTAAATTCAGCCAATTTCAATTTCAAATAATTTTTATTACGAGAACCGCAGATCTAGATTCACAATGATTGCAAAAATAAATACTATAAAAATATAAATTTCAGACCTAAGCTTCCATCTCGTTGTTTTTTTTTTGTCTGATTGTCAAAATTCCTTTCCCAAGATTGAAATAAGCAATTGTCATTAGTTAATCATTGAATCATTTTTCTAGACTTTTATAGTGTCTTATATGAACCTTCAAAATTATTTATCAAATGCTAAGTTATTCTCTTGATGGAATATGGTAATAGATTAGTGTATACATTTGATGACACTCAAATTTGGAGGGTCATCAATTGTATAAAGGCATTTTTTGACAACTTTTTGAACAAGGTGGCCAAGTGGTCAAATTAGTTCATCTACAATTATGAGTAGCCTACAGCTGTCAACACTGAGTGTGAGTTTGAACTCTACTCATGCAGGTGTGTTAGACTAATCTTTGTTTAAGAAGTATGGCAGTTTTCCTGCAAAGGTTCTTGATTCTCTGCAGGTTCTGGCTTCCTCCACCAATAAAATTTGGCCACCATGATATAGATTGCTGAATGTGGCGTTAAACACCAATAAACTATCAATCAATCTTGACAACTTTTGACCTTTTTGATATCTTTTACAAATTCTCGTTAAGATTTCAGAGTGCAGGGTTGCAGAATTGATCAGTTTTGAAGTCTTAATACCTTTCATAGTTTCTAATTGAAAGTCTAACAAATTGTTGATCCCTGCAGTGTTGTTATGAATATTAGAGAGAATTTTGCTAGTGTGTTCACAGAATTCCATCTATCAATGAAACATATTTACTCTTACTAAAGTGTTCATTTTCATGGTTCATTGGTCAATGTTAAGTTTTTGCGTTTTGGTCTGTTTTTATTATTACCATAAGCAATCGGTGAAACTATATTTAGTGTGTGGAATAATTGTAAGGTGTGCATTTCTATCTGACAGGATTTATCTGACCTTGACCTCATTGTCATGAATCTTTAAAAATGTTAAGTTTATGTGATACTTGTAGTTAAATCTTTATCTTTAAGACTTTTAAAATAAAATCAATGGTCAGTAAAGCAGGCCAGACATTTCAGCGTGTGCACTCTGGACTAATTTTACATTTTCACCACAATTTGTATTTCTGTTATTTTTCTACTCGAGGAAAGTCACAAAAATTAGTTGGTTTACAGTATTCTTAAGGTATTAAACATGTGTATAAACTGTGTCATCTGTCTATTCAGACCAGGGTATTTGAATTTTAGAGAAGTTTCTCTTTATAAGAAATGTATTTCATTATATACTGAAGAAATGTATTGCATGCACTTCAATGTTTATTTCAGTTATCCTCAGCAGTCATATTAGCTGAAGACCGCCTCCGGGTGCAGGATTTTCTCGCTGTGTTGAAGACCCATTGGTGGCCTTGGCCTGTTTTCTGCTCTTTGGTCGGGTTGTTGTCTCTTTGCAATTGGCACATTCCCTGTTTCCATTCTCAATTTTACATTGATTACTTAAATATACATCATTGAACATATGAAAATGAGGAGATGTGATATTATTGCCAATGAGACAGCTATCCACTAAACTTCAAATGAAGTGGATGTAAGCAATTATAGGCAACCGTACGGCCTTCAACAATGAGAAAAACCGAAACCGTATAGTTGGCTATAAAAGGTCCTGACGTGAAAAAAATTAAACAATTCAATTGAGAAAACTAACGGCCTAATTTATAACAAAAGGATTTAAGAAAAACAAATATGACAGACATGAACCAATAACAACCACTGAACTACAGGCTCCTGACTTGGGACGACACATACAGAATGTGGCAGGGTTAAACATGTTTGAAGGTGCCAACCCTCCCCTAACCTTAAACAGGGGTGAAACGGCACAACACAAGAACAAACTATGCAATACAATAAACAAAAATCAAATATGAGAAAAAGCAAAAAATTGCAACAACTCAATTACAGGCTCCTGACATAGGACAGGCACATATAGAATGTGGCGGGGTTAAAATGTTTGAAGGCACCAACTCTCCCCTAACCTGGGACAGTGGTTTAACAGTACAAACTATAAAAATCAGTTGAAAAGGGCTTATGTTACACCACTGTCCCAGGTTAGGGGAGGGTTGGCTTGCCTTCAAACTAGTTTAACCCCGCCACATTCTGTATGTGCCTGTCCCAAGTCATAGGGGGGGGGGGGGGGATGATCTGATCCCAGATCCTGCTTATTGTTTTGTCAGATTCTCTTATCCCACTTATTATTGTAATAATAATGCCTATAATTTCACGTGTCCAGCTCAACTTCGTTTCCTGTTTTCAGGCACAATAATTTAACTTGAATCACGAGCCACACTTACAAAAAATCGGCCAATCCTGTGTCACGCTTAGATTCAAATGAGACCCACTTAGTAGGTTTAGGTAAATGATAGAGTTAAATGATTAACACAGTACATATTTCTGTAGGGTTGTGTGAAGGCTTTGGCAAAAAAATTAAGAAAACAAATTTCGACAAAATTTATACCTCAAACCACGAAAAAATTGGAACCCACAAAAATAAATGAATTTGCAGTACCTATTTTAGATTGGCAACTGTAAATGCAATTATTTTCTGTACTTTTACCAGGTAATTTATTTTAGTATTTCATTTCAGAGGGTGGTTGATTCTCAAAACAAAGAGATTTTAATAGACAGTTCTATAGATGGACAGGACTCTTCATTTTGTCAGTCAAATTTGTGTAATGGGTGCAGGCATGGCTGTGGTCAAAAACAGCATGTTTTGTCTGAACAAACTGCTTGCTCAAGTATGGCTGAGTTACACAAGGAACATAAATGCGGAAATTCAAATGAAGATAGAACTTCAATTAGTGATGTAACTAAATCAAAAGAAAATCAGAATTCATTGATGTGTTCTGGGAATGACAGACGAACAAGCTGTAATAATGCAAAATTTGATTCAGTATTGAAAAATGAAATTACATTGAATTTACATCAAAGCAGGAATATTACATCTAATGAATATGACGTTAAGAACTGTTCATGTAACGTTATATCTTCCTACGAAGAAGGAAAAAGGTTTATATTGTCAGATTGTGATGATGGCATAGATTTAAAGACTGAAAGTCCTGTTATTCTTCACAAACCTTCAGATTTTTATTTCCGTTTAAGAAAATTCCCTGTTGATTGTTAAATTATTATTAAAGAAGGAATATTTATTATTATTATTGTACAGCAAAGGCAAATTTCCTATAAATTGTAACCAAATGCTTGTTTGCCAATATCCTGATAATCTTCATGTCTAAAATTAATATAACTATACATTGTCTCAAAATATAATACACTATTTGTACAAGACAAAGAAACAGTTAGAATGGGAGCATTTGGAGGCTTTGCTGGACACATCCATCCATTTATTGAGACAAGGACATATAAAATGCATGTTTTGAGACAATATATGGTTGTTGTCCTTGCGCTAAATTGACACTCATAAGTGTATTAACCAATTTGTTGTCATTTCAACAGCTTTTTGTCTCTCTTTCATTGATCCTTTTAACTCTTCCAATGAGTAAATGGATGAAAATGGTTAAACAGATCGTTTGTTTTTGCCATAGGGGCTTAGTATGTGAATAAAAGTTACAAAAGGTACATTTTTTTGGAGTATAATAAAAATATATATATTCCAAAAGACCCAAAAAGTGAAAAAGTATATTTTAACAAAATGCATTTGACTAGCAGGTCGAATAACGGATGTTCTTAAACCCTGCTGACTGCCATTGCAATTGCCAAATAAATGGATCACCAGATTTAACAAAATGGATCTTAATTTTTAATTTAATACCAAACAGAAAACAATAAACTTGCAGAAAAGATGGTACATGTATACCGCAAACCTGAGGTGCAAAAATTTGTACACCATATCCGGATTTCGACTCAGAGACATTAAAGGTATTGAATTAATAATTAAGATCCATTTTGTTACATCTGGTGATCCGTTTATTTGGCAATCGCCATGGCAGTCAGCAGGGTTTAAGAACACTATTGTTTGACCTGCTAGTTAAATGTGTTTTGCTAAATTAAAAATATACTTTTTCACTTTTTTGGTCTTTTGGAAAATGTTTGTGCTGTATTTAGACCCCTCTACCAAGAAGTTTGTTTTGCATGCACAAGTATAAATATTGTAGTTTTTATCCAGCACAATCGTAGGTTTGAAGGTTGTTTTCAATTTAGACATGTAAATGCTATATATATATAGCTAAGAATCAAATGAGTCTGTTTTATATGCATCAATATGTTTTTTTTTACAATTTTGAGAAGGAAACTTGACTTCCCTACCAATTGCCAGCCCTCTCTCAGGGTCTGAATTACACTTTTTCCTGAGTCGCATTTGTCTCTTTTACATGCAGAGATGCAGGTCCAAACCTGATGTAGGTCTTGTTTCTATATGAAATGCACTCTAAACTCAATCAGTCTCAACAATTCCTAAAATGAGCAATCTCTGACTATATGTATGAATGTTTAACAACAAACACGAAACTGCTGATAAAAATATCTTTATCACTATGTTTTTTATTTTAGGATGTATTGATAATGTTATATAATTGATAGGTTGACACAAAGATCAGGTTTTCTTGCTTTTATGATCCAAGAAATTCATTCAATCTGTGTTTACAGCTATGATGAATGAAATCTTTCTTAAAAAATCCTTATTGTAGAAAATACCAAAGCATAGAAATATGCACAATGTACATTGTAAGGCTTGGAATTATATCTTGTGACACAAAATTGTAATGAAAGTTTATAAGCCAACAAATTGGTCTCACAATCCAAATCACAAACATCCTAAACATTAATATGTATTGCTGTACCATTATATTGCCATTACATGTTGTACACTGCTGGTGATGCTGGCCTTTAAAACAGTCAATCAAGTTTAGCATAAAGAATTACATTATACAAAGAAGAATGATATTTGTACTTTATTTGGCTTTTGTAACTTTTTTCAGTCGAGCATCGCTGATGAGTCTTTTGTTGATTAAACAATTGTCTTGCGTACAAAATTTGAATCTTGTTATCCATGATGAGTTTATCCTCAGATACTATTATCAGAAGGTCTACTATATTTGGTGAATGGAATTCAATTAATGTCCTGTCCAGTGCACAATATATATCTTACCATTACTTCATTTTCATTGTTACAATGGTCAACGTCAAGATTTCTTGATTAAGTCAGTTTCTCAGATACTGTAAGCAGTAAGTCGACTATATTTGGTGTTTGGAATAAGTGAAAGGTTTTCACAAGTTCCTGACTTGGGACAAGCAAATACAGAAAATGACTGGGTTCAAAATGTTAACCCGTGCACAAAACCCAATTCATGACCAGGGACAATTATGTAAAATCTACATTGGAAATATGTAGCACTTTTCAAAATACTTTAATATTGAAACAAAAACAAGTAACTGTGAACTACTAAACCAATTCATGACTGATTGATTGATGATGGCATAAAACCTAACTTTCAGCACACTACTAAAATCATTGTGGTCAGTTTTTATTGACAAAGGAAGCCGGAATACCTTATGTGAATAACCACTTTCGACAGAAAAACTTTCATGTGAATCCTTACCAATTCGTGGTATATTTGCTTCCTTCAAGTTGAACATGCTGAGATGCAATGTATGGAATATGTTTTGGTGGAGACCTGAGTAAGTATATTATTTTTGGAAGAAAAAGATACACTGAAAGCAACAACGGCTCATAGCAGCTTGGTTGGTGTGATCTGCTTTCATTGTATTTCAAATTGTCCTTTCGTGTATCTTTTCGCCTCAGAGCTATCAGCTCTTCGATGATGGTTCACTGGTGAATATTTAGTTTCCTGATTAGGCCCGTTTATCGGATACAGTAATCAGTAGGTCAGCTATATGGAATGATCTCTAGTTGTACATGTCCAGTTGGCAGGGTTATTTGACGTTGACATCATTTTCACGCTTCTTTGTCAGTGTGATTTTTTCGTGAATAGTTCTGTGCCTCAGATACTATAAGCAGTAGGTAAACTAAAGTTGGCGTAATTTTGAGGTGTACAAGATTAATGTATCAACATATAACACTCTGTAAATATATGTTTCCATTTAACAAATTTTAAGAGTAACATGTATATATTACTAGTATGCAAAAATATAAATGACTTGATCCTTGTTCGCCTCAATGAACCCGTGGAGGCATGTGTCCGGTGGTGGTGGTGGCGTCAATGATTTGTTATAGTTTGTGATAGGTTAATTTTAGGGAAACCATCATGGTAAGTTAATGATATTTGGTATTTCGTTGTATTAGTTTTGCACATTCAATTTCCATAAAAATTGTAGCTCGTTGACTTCGAAACTTTCGCATAACTTTTCATATTGGGTCAGTTTTTGGGTAACCTCTTCCAACAACAAAAATATGGTATGCAGTTATATTCATACCATCGACATATTTTATTTTCATGGAGATTTGTTGGTCATGGTTCACTGACTTTGTAGGTTTTGCATAGTTTACACCTAATAGGGTTGCCATTTTAATTTCAAAATTTGTATTACACTATCAAAATTAAATAAAGGAGACACAAAGTTCTGTGTCAACAGTTTATTAATTCAGTAAACCTAGGATTTACAATATATTTTCTGAATTCAAAATGTATATATTTATTTCTAATCGATCCTTAACATATTAGAATAAATTATATGTATTGTTATTGATAAGCATAACGGCAACATCGGTTTTGTTTGATCAGAAAATAAACTAATTATATTATTAACACAGAATGTTCTTTTTTTATAAAGGTTACATTGTGGAACCTATACAAGTCTCTCATGTGTGTAATTTCAATAGTATAAATGAAAAGTTAAAAATTATTTCAACGTCAAATGACCTTGACTGAGGGGAAAAGACCAAATAATCTCCATGAGAATGAGTGCGTCACTGCTACTTATCAATGACTATATCTTATGTGATCCCCCTAAAACTGACACAATCACATATTTCTACAATCGTTGACTCCGCCTTCGCTTTCGCAGGAAACAAAACTCCTTAGTCTTCCCTCACATATTAGTGAACGCTCCCCTTCCAGCTTGCCATATTAACTGTGGATAATGGTTTATTAACCCAATAAAAGAACAAATTGTTAAATTGATCACTGGAAAAGGCATGACTTTTAAGATCAGTACTAAGCACAAAAGCACTGATCTAAAAGTATTCGAATATACTGAAATCTAATTTCAAGTAATAAAAAAAGTCATGTTCTTTCAAACTTAAATATCAATCATTACACCTCAAACAGATTTAGTGTAAAGATTTAGTAGTCCAAGAAATACATGATAATTCCTAAATATGAATATCGACAGGATGCATAAGATTTAAATTGGATGCCAATGTATGTATTGTTATTGTGAAACTGCCTATTCTAGAGGTGGCGTGAATCAGAAGTGGATACTAAAAAACTCCAAAGATCTTTTAGAGTACATACAATCTAAGACTCTCTCATCTTGCAATAGTATTAAAACATTTGACTTTCTACACTTTACACAAATATTCCCCATTTCAAACTAAAAGACAAATTGAAAGAGTTGGTATTACTTTGTTTCATTAAAAAGAATGGCGAACGTAGATACAAGTATCTTGTCTTGGGGAGGGATAAATCTTACTTTGTAAAGAATCACTCTGATTCAAACAAAAAATTCTCTGAAACTGACATTATCAAGATGCTTGATTTCTTGATTGACAACATATTTGTTACGTTTGGAGGACGTGTTTTTCAACAGACTGTTCCAATGGGAACCAATTGTGCCCCTCTTCTTGCCGACTTGATTCTTTATTATTATGAGGCTAACTTCATACAGGAACGTCTTAGGAAGAAAGATAAGAAGTTAGCAATATCCTTTAACTCTACGTTCCGCTATATAGATGATGTTCTGTCACTATATAATACAAAATTTGGTGACTATTTTGAACGAATCTATCCCATCGAACTAGAGATAAAGGATACTACAGATACAGTTAAGTCTGCCTCATATCTTGACTTACATCTAGAAATTGACAATGAGAGTCGGATGAAAACAAAACTTTACGACAAAAGAGATGATTTCAGCTTCCCAATTGTGAACTTTCCATTTCTATGTAGCAACATTCCAGCAGCGCCTGCATACGGAGTATATATCTCCCAATTGATACGATATTCACGGG